CTAGAGTAGGCCAAGAAAGTGCTGAGCAAGAGCGAATACCTATCATTACTACAGAATAAATTAAAATGTTGCACAAATATTGTGCCTTAATGTTAGATTCCTACTAAAAGACCTAAATGATTGAACAATTAAGCATCTTTTGCAAAAATGACGTGAGTAGAACTGGAATGCTTGACAACGTCACTGAAAATTCTACATTCATCAAAAGCACCATTACTGGTGACAAAACGTGCGAATGTCTTCAAAGCTGTTCAACAATCTAGTGGATAGCGCTACAAACCGAAAACGAAAAAAGGAAATAAAATTCGTTCAAAAACCAAAGCAATGCTCGTCGTTTTGTGCGAGTGCCGTGGTGTGGTTCATCATGAATTCGTGCCACAGGATCTAATGGTCGATAAGAATGCTATTTGACCGTTTTGAGGCGTCTACTTGAAGCTGTTCGTTGCAAACGACGGCATTTAAAGCCAGAAAGTTCATGGAATCGAGGCAGTTCAACCTCTGCTAAATGCTTATTCATACTTATAACATACCTTTAGCCGGTCTCGAGAGCATATTATATCAGTGGCATATTGGAAATAATTTCCATTTGGGCTCCAAGCTTTATTACCAACAAAAAAATTATAATAATAATATAACTTTTATTAAATTGTGAGTTGAGATTGGCCCATAAGAATATTATGTTAAAAAAAATAGCTCAGGCTCGATTATAGCTTTAACCACACATAAAAGCCATTTTCTGCAAAATTTAAACAACTCTCAACTACAAATTACCATTGCAAGTCATATACGCGTTGTGTATATGTGAGTGTGTGTGCGTACGTAATCTTCTTCTTCAATAAATAGATATCTAAGTAATTTCACATTCGAGTAAATATTCTTTGTAATGCTATGTACTCATTAAGTCGCGCAAGAAGCCATTACGATAAACAAATTTACCTGTTGCAAGTGCTTTATAGCTCACAACAACAACAACAACAACGACAATAACAGCGTACATAATGCGGACATGCTAAGTTGAGCAGCAGACAAATGAACATTTGCACAGTTAAGTCACTATTCTGTTGGATTTCTTAGCTAAGCGTTGTTGGGAAATACTATCAAATTCTACCGCTGTAACTATGTGACTATTTCATACACCGACCTGGTGCTGGTGGCGCGGATATGGCACCAACGCTGTCAATGCACGCCGCCGCCACCAGCCAACAACCGCCAGCATGATCTATATTGCACGGCTATAATCGCTCTATGCATATGTGTGTGTGTGTGTGTGTGTAGCGCGGTGCTATCTGAACCTGAACGCAATTCTTCTTCAACTCGTTTCCTGCTGGCATTAATCAACGCTCGACGCTGATATGGCACTTAATGTGCAACACGCTTCACTGACAACGAAGAAAGTAAAGCGCACGAGGAGGGAGACGCGCAGAGCAGCGTGCATGAGAACAAAGAAGACATTAGCGTTAAAATAAAAAAAGTGTCCATAGCTCACGCTTTGAGCCCGCAATGAGCAAATTTTAATTTTTTGACTAATAAATATCATAGGGGTACGTAGTCTTATCTACATACATACATACATATGTACGTGTATTGATAGCTTATGTCTGTAGCATTTTTTATATGCTTAAAACATTCTCGCCGCTTAGTGCTCAGGCCGCAACTAAGCAAGCGTGTCGAATGCAATACCTGCAATGTAATGAGTTGCATAAACAAAACTCGCGAATTATCGAAGCGCAAAGCTTCCTAACACCAACACCAACAAGCGCCTTTACCCTTAATAACGATGAATCGAATTTTGAACATGAAACATGTAATAAAAGCACTAAATGCGCTCAACCTAACACTTGTGTGTTGTTTTTGAACCAAATTATCAATTGGTCCAACTGCTCCGAAAAGAACTAGTTGCAGTGTAATATGTAATAAAATCAGTAACCGCTCTCAACCTAACACTTTTGAGTTATTTTTTAACCAATTGACAACTGGTTCGAAAATAACTAGTTGGGGTGTATAAATGAAGGTAACCACTTTGAAAGAAAATATTTGTTATATATATATTATGTATAGTTATTATTTATTTTTCTAGAGAATTATAAACCTTGACCACTTAGTCTTCCGGGTTTACCTTTTTCCGAATGACTCATAAGCAACTATCCGATTTTGTGTGAGGATTTACAATTTGAAGCTTCCGTATTTTTCTATATCTCGTATAATCAATATACACAGAATCGATATACGTAGAATATACGAGATATACTACATAAAATACTTCAGCTTCAGGTCTTAAATCAGAAACCGTTATTTGTTATTTGCTGTCTCAAAAAAAGTATACGACTGTCTGAGGAAGATTTGAGACATGAAGTTCTCCCATTTTTTAAATAATCAATATACGCATAGCCGGAACCTTTTTTCGTTATTTTATAACAAACATTATATCACAAACCTATCTCACTGGGCTTAAAATAACTAGTTACGAACTAATAAAATAATGTCAGTTTGGGAAATGAAATAGTTAAAATTGAATATAATACCTCAACAAATAAAAAACAGAGACTATGAAAAAACACGATTATTTTAATTGCAAATCTCACAGAGGAACAGAGAATCTCCTAAGCTTCTTAACCAAACTAACAAACTTTTTGAGTCAATTTAAGACTAGAATATGCATTTTTTTTTATTAAAGCAACATATAAATTGCTGAAAACTTTGCCCAACCTACACTACAATGAGTGACTTCATTGCTTTAAAGTTGCCATAGAATTATTAAAAGATTCGATAAAAAATTAACAGACTTGTCAAACCACCCTTGTATTTTTATGCCATATGCATTAACACAATCATAAAATCGTATGTGAGCTATGCTTGCATAAGTTGCATAAATTAAAAAAAAAATGCTTATGAATGTTGATTTTGTTCGCGTGCTAGGTGTGCACCTAGGCTAGGTTCGTCTAGGGTGTGCAAATTATAATTTTTAATTAATGCACGTATACTATAGTGTACAGATACCTTAATGTAATGAATTACGTAGTGGTAGTTAGGCATTAATTATGAAGTATAAACAATGGTATATTATTGCTATAAACTATGGCTGTCTAAATTTTCTTTAGCTAAACAGTAAAATTCATATATGCAAATCTGGGAAAATGTTTTAGCTACAATTAAAGCGAAATATTTCGAAATCACACTTCTCTCTTCAAATTTTTACAACACCTACTTTGCTTTCAGGGTCTTAGTTTCTTAAAATTTTCATAAACAGACTTTCTCCTAACTTAATTTCCGTTCACTAAAAACTATAAAAAAATCAACATTTTCAAGCAGATCTACTAATTTCTTTAAAGTTATTAAATAACTTACATTAGATTATTGGGATATTTATATATTATAATTAAAAATGAAAAATCTTTTTAAAAAAAAAAATATGATTAATATACTAAAATTATAAATATATATCTCAAATAGTTTTTCAGTTAAAGTCTTCTAAAGTGTAGGCGCTCAGTTCAATCAAATCCAAAATCTTGCTATCATTAACAAATGAATGAATACCATGTCAATATCACTAATCATCACCAATCAGACACCCAATTTTCGACTGCTGCGTAGGAATCGAAGTTCTGCTCAGTAAATTCGTGTCCCATCGATGAAAACAAATTGTAATCGGTGGGGACCAGTTTGGTTCATACGGTGGGTGCGATAGCAGCTCCCAGCCAAATATATTGATAGTATACTGAACTGATTTTCCTTTGTGTGCAGGTGTATTATCGTGCAATAAAATTTCTTTGTAGTGTCTTTTTGCTGTTTTTAGCTCAATGCTTGATTCAAATTAATCATTTGCTGTCTCTAGCAATTAGTATTCACCAGCTTTTGGAAGCTCATGATATACCACAACCTTCTGATGCCACCAAACACCTGCCATTGCCTTCTCACCAAAGCGATCTATTTTTGCAGTCGATGTTTATAGTTGGATTAATGTATGATTTTCTACGTTTAAGATTCTTATATAAATCCATTTTTCATTGGCAGTGATGCAAAGCTGATTTTCTTTGAAACAAAATTTCACATGTGTTTTTTTCGAGTTTCCATTTGTCTTTCATTCAATTCATGTGCCACACACCTGAACTTCTGGATCTTTACCATAGCTTTAAGACAGTCTGAAATTGTTTTTGTGCAACATTTTGAGATGCAATTCTTAAATCTCGAAATTTTTACTGAAATTTTCATTCTTTTTCGTAAAAAATTTCCAATTTTCTGTTTTTTTTTCTTCGTCCAAGTTCTAAGTTAAGGTTTTGAGTAAAACACGTATTTTTCACTTTAGATGATCCTATAAGAAGTTATCCTGACAATTTTTTTTTTTCAAAAATTTCAGAATTTCTTTATTATTAATAATGTATGCTTGCAACAATAAAAAATTCTAATAAAATATTTGGTTTTTTATATAAGAAAATTTTTTTTGAAAAAAGTCTGTTTTTTACCCGAGGAGACCCATGTAGCCACTTAAGAAAACGCTAGATCTTTAGAAGGAACATATTGGTGAGGTTTGGTTATTATAATAATTAAAATTATATAAATGTGTAACATCTTCTGGAGCTAAGTTAGTACAACCTCAAAATGAAATACGTTAAAATGTTTTTTTTTTTGTCAGTCCGGGTGAAATTTGATCAGGTATACTAAAATTTTCCAAAATTTTTTAGCATACTTTTCTTTTTCTCTTAATATTGGTGAATAAGCTTATTGTCGAATCACTCAAATTTTCAAGTGTCTTAAAGTTGGCACATGTATCTAGTAACTTTCGTGCTGAAGTAATAATAATAGTAGGCACTTACCTCAAACCACTGCCAGAAATCACCTTAGCGCTGTTATTCCATCGCCCAGCAACCAAAAATTGTTGCTATAATATTTTATTGCGTTTACTAAGCCATTTTCGTAGATTTTCTAAGCTGAAAGTATAAAAATAAATAATAAATAATAAAAAAAATAAAAAAGGAAGGTTATAGTTGTAATCTCATGTTGAAATGGCCAAAACTACGAGCGCCGCAATAAAAATGGACCCAATGCGTGTGACGCTGGCGGATATTCAAAGAGGTGTAGGTTTGATAAATAATAAAAGTTTATTAATTTCCAGTTTTATTTGTAGAAGCAAAATTTTACTACTTAGATTACAGTAAGTAAGCAGCTGGATGACTTCAAAGCCTTTCCGACAACACTACACTGCGGTCGCTCCTTGGTGGGCTCGCCCAAACAACAGCCGCAACACATTAAAGTAACACTTCGGAAGACCAATGAAATCCTACTCTACGAACAGCGCAGCCTCACCGCCTTGGCCGACACAGACGAAGGCAAAGCAGTCGCAGTGGACAATGAACGCTACGAGTATTTAACATCCGCGCAGGGCAGACGACGACGTACCATCAGCGCAGAGGCGCAAACTGGCGGCGTGCTCTATAAAAGTCGCGATGTGAATACCGAATACATACGCACGGATAATATCGCTTCGTATGTGTCGAACTTTGAGATGTTCGACACGTACAAGGACCTACAGACTACAACGAAAAGTGTTGCCATTGATGAGCACAAGAAAATGGAGATTACGACTTACAAAGTGGAGGGCAAAGATACATTTATCGATATTAATCGACAGCCGAGTTTCCGTTTAGCGCTCATGTTGACCATGCGCGTCTTAGCCGGCAATGTTTACGAGCAACAACAACGACGCTTTCGTAATATGCGTCTGCCTGATCCGCTGGCAGCGGAGGTACGCTACCGTTATCGTATTAAATTGCTTTGGCATTTTGAATTGCCACAGACACTGGCCGGCGACACGAAGAAAGCGGTCGCTGATCTCAGCTGGTGTCCACGCAACGGCGACATACTCGCCGTGGCTTATGGTGTCTACAATTTTCGGGATGACAATGCAAATGCCGATGGTTGTGTTTGTATTTGGTCCATTAAAAATCCCGTCAATCCGGAGCGATACTATAAATATCAATTACCCGTTATGACGGTCGAGTTCTCACTGCACAATCCACAATTATTGGCCATCGGCTTATCGGATGGCACCATCGAGGTGCTGGATATAACGAAACTCGAATCCGCCGCCATTGCAGTTACCGATCGTCGCACCTTGCACAACTGTGAACCGATTGTCGCCATAAAATGGATCTCACGTAGCGAACTGGTAGGCGTCCAGTATACCATTGAACCGTTTTTAGCGCTGTCACGTGACGGATCCGCAACAAAGTATAGCATTATTAATAGTCCACAATTGCTGGCGAATAAGCTGCTTTTGTTGAATCGCATTGAAGCGCAGCCGGAAGGTATACGAGTGGAGCGTAGCTATGAGCTGCTGCAGGCCAATCGTCATCCGCAGGGCTTAAATCTCTGCTTGAGTCCCACACAGGATGATTTGTATTATGTGCTCACAGAGGAGGGTTGCTTATACAAGTGCTCAACACATTATCCGCAGCAGTATTTAACGGTACTGCAAGTGCAGGAGGCGGGTGCGAATTCAATGGATTTTTCCCCATGGTCGCCGAAGCTCTTTCTAACCTGCGGCAATGATTGGTGAGTGATTGTTTTACATAGAATTAGTTTTTAAAACAAAAACCGGGTACAAAGCGAATATAATGGACGATAGAGTTGTTGACTTAGGTTCCATGGGTTTCCTAATAGCGCATGTCATTCCTCGATGGTATTTTGACCCCTAAATTGCTTTAATTTAGTTTTAAAAATTAAATTTTTTATAAAAATATGTTTTTATATATTTCATCTAGACCCCAGAACAACTTTTATAAACACATTTCCAGGTCCATTAATATTTGGCTAGACAGCATTTTCGAGCCAATAATCTCACTAAAACATCATGAGGGTCCCATACACTGCGCCTACTGGAGTCGCACGCATTCCACAATAATTATTTCATTGTGCCGAAACTCGGTGGACATTTGGGATATTAAACAAAGCATACTCAAGCCGATGTCGTCGACTAGCATAAATGGTGCGCATTATACGAGCTGCAGGTAAGTGACTACTGCCAAAAAGAGTATTCTCGTTGCTTTCACGAACCTTTAAAATTTTGTTTGTAATTTTCTACAGATTGTCACTTTGCAGTCGCTCGTTAGCAGTTGGCAATGAAAGTGGTAATGTTCTAATGCTTGCCTTCGAAGACATGCCTTTTCCCGCCTACTATCAATATGATCAATTGGAGAAAGCAATATACAATCTGATAACCAATGATAAGCAAATGACGCAAAAGGTGAAAAGCCTCGGTTTCTTTGGTTATGCCGAGCATGTTAGATATCAGCCGAAGAAACGTCGCAGAAGACGGAAGAAAACACAAAAGGATACAAATTTAAGTGATGAAAATTAAATTTTGACATATGACATATGTACTTAGGCATACCGTTGGATTTATAAAAATATAATATAAAATAATAAAAAAGTTTTTTTATATTAGTATTTTGAGGTGCCACTTTTTTGTAACTTGAACAAAGTATAGTACAATCGAAAAAGTATTTTCGTATTTCTGTCCAAATTTCAATTTTTTATTTATTTATAATATGTGACCTGGTCTACGGAAAGGGGGCTTAGGTGTCAAAAAATCAATTTTCACTTTTTAGTTGATTTGGACGGGAGATGAGAAGTTGTTTATTTTTAACAGCTGTTTCAGAGAAAACTAGTTTTCGCACGTTAGCTCCCTTTTCGTACATCAGGTCACATATAATGAACTTTAATGAACCAAATATGTCAATATCGACCACTTTTTGTCATTTTTCCGCAGAGACATTATTCCATCAGTGTAAAACTTTTCTGGTTTCTTAGCGAAATACTGGGACAAGTAATTTTTACAGGCTTCTCTTGAAGTCAACTTTACTCGATTAAGGGCAGCTCTGCATTGACCGAAACAAATGGTATTAGGTGCAAGATCATGTCTATATGGTGGATGGATCAAAACTTCCCAGCCAAGATCTCCCAGTTTATGACGAGTCATCAAAGATGTGTGTGGTCTAGCGTTGTCGTGATGAAAGACGAAGCCCTTTTTGTTGATCAGCACTGGCCACTTTTTTCGATTGCTTGCTTCAATCTCTTCAGTTGTTGACAGTAAAATGTATTATCAATCGTTTGGCCAGGCTGGAGCAGCTCATAGTGGACGGTTCCTCTCCAATCCCACCAAACACTCAACAAAAGCACTCAACGCGTCAATTCTGGCTTTGCGGCCATTTGTTGAGCTTGACCACGCTTGGGCCATGATCTTTTTCGCACATTATTGTCGTATTGGATCCACTTTTCATTACCAATTGCTTCAGAAATGGTTTGATTTCATTTCGGTCCATTTAATTGTTCATAGCCAATTCATGTGGCTCCCAAACATCGAGCTTCTTTTTGTAGCCAACCTTTTTTAAATGGTTCAAAACCATTTGATAAAGATTTTATGTTCCTTAGCGATGTCATGGCTGCTGATGTGACGGTCCTGTTCAATCTTTTCCATAATTATGTCGACTCTTTCAACGATAGGTCGACCAGAGCGAGGTTCATCTTTCACATCAAAATTTCCAAAACAGAAGCGAGCGAATCATTGTGCTAGCTGAACTGTTACAGCATCATCTCAGTAAACTTCACAAATTTCATTAGTGGTGTGAGTGGCATACTTTCATTTTTTATAAAAAAAATTTCTAAAAATAGCGAATTTCTTCAATATTTTCATTCATTTTTGAACAGCTATACATTTTTTTCAACTTCCCCGATTTTTTTTTTTTTTTTTGTTAAGTGAAGCTTAAAAACTCTCCTTTCCAAAACTGTATGGTATACACAATGTGATTGGTAGCATCTATTGACAAAATACGAAAAGACTTTTTCGACTACCCAATATTTTAAGCTTGCCACGAAGTTTAGTAGCAGTAGGATATATCGGAGGCCCTATAAATACGTATAAAAATGATCATCGTGACGAGCTGAGTCGATTTAGCCATGCCCGAACAACTGCCCTTCCGTCCGTAAGTATATGCACAATAGAAATGAAATGTAAATACAAATAGTAATAAAAAAAAAATATTTTTTAACGAAAACAATTTTTTAACTAATTTGACAATATTTTGTAGTATTATATTATATTTTAAACTGTTTCTGTAAAAGAAAAAAGTTATCGGCGTCACACTAATACAAATTTTTATAAGGAGAGTAAAAATATATAAACATATATGTATTTAATTTTTTATTTTTATTAAAATCACTATTTTCTGTATTACTAAATTTTGTTTTTAAATATTTTCAGCTTTTTTAACACTTAAAAGTTTTAACTTATAAGATATTCAGTCCTCAGTATGACCTTTCTTTTTTAAATATTTTTATGGCACTCCAAAATTCTAACCTCAAAAATATACTCTTTATTGTATGATTGTCGCACTCTCCACTCTATTTAATTTGTGATTTCAAAACATTACCACATTTAACCCAAAGCCTTGATTTTATGTAAAGAGCACTTTCATTGACAAATACAAAAAAAAAATTAAGTTTAACGGCACTTGGGTAGTAATTTATTCAGCGATAACCACGATTTTTAGGTAACTTTTTATGCACAAAATTTCGACACGGCCATTTTGCTGACTTGATTAAGGCTTTTAGGGCACTCGTTACCTCGCAAGCTTGTTGTTATATTTTTTAGAGTTTCCACCAAACCTTATCACACTGCGACGACGCGAAGGTATACATTTTAAGTACAAGTACATACATATATTAATTTAGAACACAATTTCTTGGATTTAAATTCACTTTTGAATTTCCACTGCTTCGAAACCCACAAACGCATCAACCAGAGAACTGCGCGCACAACGGCAACAACTTTACTGTAAAAGAAATCAGCAGCATTACAGGAATTACTTTAATTTTCGAAAATAGACAATAAACGATACTCAACTGTGTCTATTTCAGTTCGCTTTGTTTATGTTTAGCACAGCTGATGCTGCGGTTTGGCATTCCACATCGCTCAAGTTCAAACAATTACCTTATTTGCGGTTTTCTAACGATCGCTGAGACAAGCTAAACATAACGTTACTTAGAGTTCATAAATTCTTAACGCTGGCAGTTGCAATTGTGCATTAAATTCATTAAAATGACACAAACGCATTTCGTATTGCCGCTTTTGATGCCCGAAAGGCAGTTGGTGCGCACCTTTCCAGCGCCCTACAACGAGGCCATTTCACCCTTTGCCGAGGTGAAGGATTTTTCCAAAGCCGTGCGCTTCGAGTCGCAATGGCAACCAAAACTGAAGTTGCGAGCACGCAAAGTCATACTCATCGGCGATGTGGCAGTGGGCAAGACGACATTGGTGAACAGGTAGGTGTGCTGGCATTTTGCTGGTGGAATTTTTGTTGCCGAATTATATTTGCGCTTCTAGATTTTGCTTCGATAAGTTTGCGGAGAAATACAAGGCGACTATTGGCGTGGATTTCGAAATTGAGAATTTCAATATTTTGGGACAGGGTCTTACGCTGGAAATGTAAGCACATTACGATTACTGTTTCATTATGTAATTATTATTATTACACTTGCCTACAGTTTTGTCGCTTTTAAGCATGTATAAATTTATTTTAAAATTTTTTCAATATTCTTAGGTGGGACACCGCGGGCCAAGAGCGCTTCAAATGCATAGCACAAGCTTATTATCGAAATGCTAATGGTAATTAATTAGCTTATAATATATTAATTATAGCGCAAACAATTAAATTAAAACACTTTCATTACAGTTATTATAGTCGTTTTTGATATGTCCAAACCGGAAACGCTGAATTCAGCAACCAAATGGCTCAAAAGCGCCCTGGCTGTTAATACATTACAAATGCCACTGACATTTCTGGTTGGCACCAAGTCGGATAAATTGGTAAGCGCACTGATATACAGGAAAATATTTCAAATTAAAAAAAAATAAAGTAAAATAATAATAATTTACAATAATTCTTTGCCGAAAATCTTAATTCTCAACATTCCCGATTTTTGTGTATGAAATTATTTGTTTTTATAAACTTCTATTTAGTTAAAATTTTATTTTTTTTTTCTCTTCAACTCTGCAGAACAGAGCAGAATTCGTGCGCGTGGAGCGTTTGGCAGCAGAAATCGCAGACGGCATTAAAGCCGAGTATTGGTCAGTTTCCGCGCGAACTGGCTATAAAGTAGTCGACTTCTTTCAACGTGTAGCAGCGCTATCATATGAGACCGCCTGCAAAGAAGCGATTATTGAGCGTCATTTTATGGAAAAATCCGTTGCGGTGCGTTTACAGCGGAAGTCAAAACAATGCGGTAAGTCACAGAAATGACATGATTATAAAAATCGTGTCAGATTTTCAATAAATACTATTACTAATAATTTCAATAACTCAATGCATTTATGTATGTAAACTTCTTTGCAGATTTTCGTAGTAACCAAGCAGACAGCAGAGCAGCGAAAGCCAAGGAAAGGAGTTTATGTTTCTGTTCATAATTTCTAAGTATTTGTAGATAAAAAAATATGATAAAAACTGAAAATATTATATTAAACGATGTAAATAACTTATACTTACTTTGTTTTTTAAACGGTATCTGGAATCATATGGTATTTGTTAGGCAATGGGGCTAAAAATCACAACACAACTACACACACATCAGAAGCGGCCCTTTAAATCTGACAAATACAAATTTTTGCAAAATAATCATCGAAAACTTACTGCCAAATATTAAATCGCTTCGCAACTAATATATATATATACTATATATTTATGTAGAACAGAGAAAAGCTAACTGGTTGTACCAGTTTTAGCCTAAGCAATATTAAGAAAATGCAGGAACACTTTTAATTGCAAAAAAGATATGATGCGGCAAAAATGGTACGGCTAAAAACTTCGCTACATGCATTTAGCATTTATACATTGAAATACTCACTATCACAAATCACTAAAAAAACTAGTTTTTAAACATTAAAATTTTATTACATTCACTGGTTTTTTTAAATTATTGCACAAAGTGTAATTTCGACGGGCTATTTCCTGCTTTTTAAATTTTACAACTAACGCAGCGTTGCATTTCCGAACTTCGAAGACAGCTTCCAGCTTTGTCGAAACGGGTTGCACTCACTACGAATTAATTTTTGACGTTAAATAAAGTATGTGGTGAAGTAGTTAAGAAATAACTGCCATAATAAGAAATTAGGCAGATTTTTAAAAATTTTCTAATTTATCTCAATTAACTCATTTTTTGTTACATAAACCAGTTGATAATACTTAGTAATTAAAAAACAATGGTAATGTAGAAAGTTTATGGTATACAACTTTATAATCTTCCTTACATTTTTTAATCTCAAAGTACTTGTATACAGGAAATAATAAAAAACAAAAAATATCA